GCCCCCGGTTCCTCTAACTCAGTCGTGCTAATTCCTGTCAGCGTTCATCATAGTCGTCCTGGCCCTGATTTTAGATGTGGATTGGGGGTCTTCCAACTTGCTAGAACAGGCGAGTACATAATTAATAGCGCAAATACGATGTCTGATGCCGATCCAAATTTCAGCACCTTGAATGCCGCCGAATCAACTCTCGTACCTCGGAGCCCGGAACGTGCCGTAGAAAGCCTCGTGGAAGCCCCTGATCCCTCCGTCTCAGTCCAGCCATTTGCTGCCGCCGCTCACCATAGTCGTTCCGGACCTGTAGTCGGATGTGGAGAGGGGGTCTTCCAACCCAGTCACTATGGCGAGTATCCGCATGGTATTGTTAATGTTCATTCGCTGCCTGATGCTTCCGTGATTTCTAGGGAGAACAGACGTTCGATTGTAAGCCGCAAGCAGGACATCGTGATTTTCTTCCAAAACGCCGGCGGAATGAATTCTGATGTTGACGACTACCGGCTTGCTGTATCGGATCGTTGCTATGATGTGATTGTCCTATGCGAGACGTGGCTCGATTCGCGAACGCTTTCCAGCCAGGTGTTCGGATCCGATTATGAGGTTTTTCGTTGCGATCGGAATCCAAACAACAGCCGAAAATCTACTGGTGGTGGCGTTCTTGTGGCTGTCCGTTCCGGATTGGAGGCGAGAGCAATCGAAAATGAATCGTGGAACAGTGTGGAACAGGTTTGGACAGCCATTAAACTGGGCGATCGCACATTATTTTTGTGCGCATTGTACATGCCACCAGATCGAGTTCGTGATCTTGAACTCATCGAGACTCACTGTCAATCAGTCTTCACAGTAATGGAAAGAGCGACTCCAATTGATGAGCTATTCATTTTTGGGGACTTTAACCTAGCAGGCGTTTCGTGGAGACCATCCCATAGCGGCTTTCTCTATCCAGATCCAGAACGTTCTGTATTTCATGCAGGAGCTATCGGCCTTCTCGATAACTATAGCGTAGCAACGCTTTCTCAAATTAACTACGTAGTCAACGAGAACAACCGTAGTTTGGACCTCTGCTTCGTGAGCACTCAGGACAATGCTCCGTTCATTTCCACAGCACCTTGTCCACTAGTTAAGCTTGTTCCGCACCACCCTCCTCTGATTGTCACTGTTTAGGACAATCTCGTTCGTGATTTCGATAGTCTTCCTGCTGCGGTTTCTTATGATTTTCGAAAGGCCGACCATCGAAGCATTGTAGATGTGTTGTCAAACATGGACTGGGAGAACATTCTCGATCATGACGACGTTGAGGCCGCTGCGCAAACTTTTTCTCATGTCTTGGCATATGTCATTGACAGTCCCGAAAAGAATTCAACGCAAGGACTCTCACCCTCCCTGGCAGACGATTGAGCTGCGTAGGTTGAAGTCAATCAAGAGAGCAGCATTGAGAAGATTTACGAAGTATCGCACGCTTCCTCTGAAACATCACTACGTGAGGCTTAATCACGAGTATCAGCGAGCCAGTCGTCGATGCTTTCTGCGATTTCAACGAGGTATTCAGCGTAACCTTAAACTTCACCCGAAATCCTTCTGGAACTACGTGAACGAGCAACGCAGAGAATCTGGCCTCCCATCGTCAATGGAATTGAACAGTGAAGTCGCTTCCACTCCGCAGGATATTTGTCGCCTTTGTTTTGTCAATTTTGCCAGCGTGTTCACTGATGAGAGACTAAGTGACGACCATGTTTCCCTCGCAGCCAGGAACATCCCACTAAATGGTCAAACGCTGAGTGCAATTGATGTCAACGTTGAGATGATTTCTAACGCTGCAACGCAGCTCAAATCGTCCTTCAACCCTGGACCCGATGGAGTTCCGTCCGTGTTTTTGAAGAAACATATTGCTTGCTTGTTAACTCCACTTCACCGTCTATTCCAGATGTCATTCTCCAGTTGTATATTTCCATCCTTCTGGAAATGTGCACACATGTTTCCTGTCCACAAAAAGGGAAGCAAACGAGCCGTGGATAACTATCGTGGAATTACATCGCTGAGTGCTGTTTCGAAACTATTCGAGCTTGTTATTATGGAACCGTTGCTCTCTCACAGCAAGCAGTATCTGAGTGCTGATCAACACGGGTTTACTGGCGGTCGCTCTACAACCACCAATCTGCTATGCCTCACATCCTACATTACCGATAGTATGACTGAACGGGTACAGACGGACGTTATATATACCGATCTATCCGAGGCATTCGATAAGTTGAATCATGACATTGCGATTGCTAAACTTGACAGGCTTGGGGTGAGCGGTAATCTCTTGAGTTGGTTCCGTTCGTATCTTACTGGTCGCCAACTTATGGTTGCTATAGGAGATTGCAAATCAGCTAGCTTCTTTGCCACATCAGGTATACCGCAGGGAAGCCATCTGGGACCGTTGATTTGTCTACTCTACTTCAACGACGTGAACCTGGTTATCGAAGGACCTCGATTAGCATATGCAGACGACCTCAAAATATTTTTACGAATTTGCTCGATCGCTGACTACCACAATCTTCAACATCAGCTTAATGTCTTTGCCAGTTGGTGTACTTTAAATCGAATGGTAGTGAACCCAGCAAAGTGCTCTGCCATAACGTTCTCACGAAAAAAGCAACCGATTGTATTCAGCTATGACCTGCTTGGAACGACACTCGAACGCGTGAATCAGGTGAAAGACCTGGGTGTGGTGTTGGATTCACAGTTAACATTCAGGCAACACATTTCTTATGTCATCAATAAGTCGTCTAGGACTTTAGGATTCATCTTCAGGATAGCTAAGAATTTCACCGATGTCTACTGCTTAAAATCTCTTTACTGCTCCCTCGTACGATCGACGCTTGAGTATTGTTCTGCGGTTTGGAATCCGAATTACAACAATGGTGCCGAGAGAATCGAATCTGTTCAACGTCGCTTTCTTCGTTTTGCGCTTCGTAGACTGCCCTGGAGAGATCCGCTTCGGCTGCCCAGCTACGAGAGTCGCTGCCAACTGATAAACCTTGAACCTCTCCGGATTAGAAGGGACACCAACAGAGCTTTGATTATCGCCGACACTCTACAGGGACGAATAGATTGTGAGGCTATCCTAAGGCAAATTGACCTAAACGTGCAACCCCGACCACTCCGTAACAACCTCATGCTGAAACTGCCACTGCGTCGCACGAACTACGGGGCATATGGTGCGATTTGCAGACTACAGCGTGTGTTCAATAGAGTCGCATCTGTATTCGACTTCCACCTCACACGTGATGCGCTTCGTCGGAGATTCTCATCTGTTTTCGCCGGCCGCAGTGACTGACAGAGAAAATTAGTGTATTTCCATTTATGTTTTTTTTTACATTTTGACCATGTTGCTTTGTTTTTCTTTCTGTGATTATTTGACATGTAATTTTACTATTATTATTTTTATGATTAGTATTATTAACATCATTTGAGCTACAGCCAGCCTGTTGATGTATGGCAACAATAAACAATAAACAATAATGTTAAGTGATTTTGAGAAATTGGATCATCATCCTTAGAGGTCGCGTATTACCCCAAGCTCCCCTACATTACCTGTTTTGGCAACAAAACCACAAAACCGTTCGTTTTTGGCACGGTTCTCGGTTTTGGCATCATGCCAAATACGAACAGATTTTGAAAATAATGTATTTTTGCTCCTTATGATTACAATTTTTAATAAAAGATTTATTATTAATAGCCTCTATGTCATAAAGATGACTCATGGTGGTCCAAAATCAACGAAATCATAAATAAAACTTCAACATAAAACCATTTGATTTTGTCACAGTTCGATTTTGGCAACACTAAATTTTTGGGCTGATTGCCAAAATCGAACGGATACATGTTGCACCGAAATCGATCCATCCTTTTTCACAAAAGTGAGTGAGAAACACAGTTGTATATTGAAATATCACTATTTTGTTCATATATCGTTTCAAATCGATTCTGTAATCGCCGAGAAACGCCAGTTAGTAGCACAGTTTCATTTATAAATTTCAGTGTTTCGTTCATTTCTCCGAAACTATATCCGATCTGCAAGAAAACCAACAGGGTTCTATGGGTTCCAGAAAAACACAAACTGCAACTTGTTTCACAACAACCCTCTGACTCTGAGTACATGTATACGTGTTTTAACACTGTTAACGATCAGTTTGACCTTAATGTAACAATTTGTTAGAATTAGAAATTTAGATTAAATTGCACTCTGAACGAATACTTCGGAGATAAAGGACAGAATAAATAAATAATAAATAAATGAAACGTGAACAGTTTAATCCTGTATGTACTACTAAAGACTGCACAGTAACCATTGCTTTGTATGAAATATCACCATGCCTCCGATGCATTCATGACGAACACTACTATAGCGCATTTTCCCACGCTTCCAGGCACGTGCTGCCAGTAAACCGTCTCCCATTGACGTTGTGTGTCCCGTTGAACCTTTCTACCACAATATTTTCCCTTCAAAACATCAGAAAACACCCTCCTGCAGTGAAAAACCGTGCGAGATTCCATCCTACGCTTCCCACCATACCAAATACACGAGAGCGAACGTCGGCGCCAGAGCTGCTCACTTAGCTATTCCCGCGTGTTCTTTCCTGCGTCCATTGCAGAGCGTACATAATTTTCTTAAGACTTCCCCCGCGCGCACACGAGACGGGATCCTGATAAATAACATCATCCAATAAAATAACACCGATCTCAAGGAAAAACCACATAAATGCGCTAGGTTCGGGGGCCTCCTCACCTCAAGTGGAGTGAAAACGGAGAGTGGCTCTCTCGTTCGCTCCGGGAAAACTCGCTCGCTCTCTGCCTCGACGGGGAAAATCCGAAGCTTCCGTCAAACCGAGAGAGGGAAACTTTCCTTCTGGTTTGGAATGAAAATATTTTGGTCCAGTGTGCATCCCATCCGGCTTCAGTAAATTTTGAACATGCTCGTCGGGCGGTCTGGTTTTAGGCGTACGGCGGTGTTGCGAATGGGAGCTTTCGTCACGGTGGCTTAGATCATCCAGAACGATCAGATTTTTCTCGCGAATTATTGTGAGCATATTTGTTAAACGGAAGCCATGAGGTGATGACAAGTTGCAATTAGTTATCGGGTCGAAGGATTGACACTGTGAAAATAAGGAATGCATGGAAAAAAACACCCGAAAATGTGAAGCGTGCTGAGTGAAAGGCAAAATAAAAGCGTGAGAAATTGTGTGATTCCACGGTCTGAAAGGCGGGAAACTTTTGCGCTCGCTGCTGAAGTGCCGTGGGTGGAAGTGCCGAGCTATTTTTTCGGTGATTTGAGTTAGAGTGAAGCGGTAAACGCGAAAATATTGCTAAGAAGGATTTGCGGTTGCTGAGATGGAGTGAAAGTGATATTTTGTGAACCAATAGAGAGTTATTAAGATTGTTACATCAACGGGAGTCACTATCGTCGGAAGAGGTGCGTTTCTATTGTTATAGCAAAGTTACATATAAACAGGAAACTGAAAGTAATAACAAATTGTTTTTATTTTTTTTTACTTTTTATTTGTTCCAAATTCAAAATAAATTACATTTCATTTTAACCTAGGTGCTCCAGTTACTACAGTAACTTACCAGCCTTAATTGTTATGATATATATCTAAGGGTTTTTACATTGTTCCTGCCTTGACAATTCAGTATTTTAAACAGGTTTTTTAAACCTGCATGTGAGAATAACAATCGAAATCTTAAAACTAAAAACTATAGCTTATCTAAGTATAAAGGGGATTAATCGTTGCAATTGAGGATTGCAACGATTTTTGCCTTAATTAATGATTATTTTGTTCGACATTTGTTCTAAAGTCTCAACCTTCAAAATTCTATGTACCTCGGTAGAACTGAACCAGGGAGGCAACTTCAAAATCATCCGAATCCTTTGAAGTACTTTTTTCCTGGTAGTGCAACAACTAGGCCATATTGGCACAGCGTAAAGCATGGCCGGTCTAAAAACTTGTTTAAATATTAGAAGTTTATTCGTCAGGCAAAGGTTGGATTTCCTGTTTATAAGAGGATACAAACATTTTATATATTTGTTACATTTGGCTTGAATGCCCTCAATGTGATCTTTAAAAGTTAATTTTTGGTCAAGTATTAATCCAAGATATTTCACTTGGTTTGACCAGGAAATTGGAACTCCGTTCATAGTGACTATGTGACTACTACTAGGTTTCAAAAAGGAAGCTCTAGGCTTATGTGGAAATATTATAAGTTGAGTTTTGGAAGCGTTGGGATAAATCTTCCATTTTTGTAAATAAGAAGAGAAAATGTCTAAACTTTTCTGCAGTCTGCTGCAAATAACACGAAGACTTCTTCTTTTAGCTGAAATGGCTGTGTCATCAGCGAACAAAGATTTGTGGCAACCCTGAGGCAAATCAGGGAGGTGCGAAGTGAAAATGTTATACAATATAGGCCCAAGAATGGAAAATTAAACTTTTTCAATTTAGCAATCAAACACTGTCGAATGTTTTTTCTATGTCTAGAAGAGCAACTCCAGTTGAGTGGCCTTCAGATTTGTTTGAACGAATTAAATGGGTAACTCTTAAGAGTTGATGAGTAGTTGAATGCCCATGGCGAAATCCAAACTGCTCATCTGCAAGGATTGAGTTCGTATTGCTGTGAAGCATCATTCTATTCTAAATTATCTTTTCAAAAAGTAAACTTATTGGACGGTAGCTAGAAGCTTCAGCTGGATTTTTATCCGGCTTCAAAACTGGAACAACTTTTGCATTTTTCCATTTATCAAGAAAGTATGCCAAAAAGAAACATCTGTTAAATAATTTTACCAAGAAAGACAAGGTATTCCCTGGGAGTTTTTTTTTATGAGAATATAGAAAATTCCATCATCACCTGGAGCTTTCATATTACGAAACTTTTTTGTTATAGACCTTACTTCGTCCAAATCAGTCCCCCAGGAATCATCAAAAATATTTTCCCGAGATAAAATATTCAGATAATCCCGAGCAACCTGATTCTCAATAGGACTAGTAAGACCCAAACTGAAATTATGGGAACTCTCGAATTGCTTAGCAAGTTTCTGAGCTTTTTCCAAATTTGTGATCAAAATTTTACCACCTTCTTTAAGCGCTGGAATAGGCTTTTGAGGTTTTTTCAAAATTTTTGTGAGTTTTCAAAAGGGTTTGGAACTTGGGTCTAATTTAGAAACATTATTTTCAAGAGTTTTGTTCCTCAGGGCAGATAATCGCTTTTTAATTTGTTTTCGCAAATCCTGCCAGATAACTTTCATGGCAGGAACGCGTGTTCTTTGATATTGTCTCCTACGGACATTTTTAAGACGGATCAATAGCTGAAAATCGTCGTCTATTATAATTGAATCGAATTTATACTCGCATTTTGGGAACTGAGGCAGCTCTTGCTTCAACTATAGAAGTAGTCAGTGATTCAAGAGCATAATTAATTTCATCTTTGGTTTGCAAAGGAATGATGGATCGAAGTTATATTCCATAAATGTTCGATATTGCTCCCAATCAGCTCTATGGTAATTGAAAGTAGAGCTGTTGGGATTAGAAATTATTTCTTGGGATATTTCAAAAATTACTGGAAAGTGATCAGAACCGAAGCCAGCATGGGTAACCAATTGGCTTCAGAGTTGACATGAATCAGTTAAGACCAAATCAATAGTTGAGGAATTTCTTGCAGAAGAAAAGCATGTTGGACTGTTTGGATATTGAATAGTGTCTCCTAATAGTGTCTAATAACCTGCAGAACAATCATCAAAAAGAATATAACCATTGGAATTGCTTTGAGCATTATTCCATGAGCGGTGTTTTGCATTAAAATCACCAATAATGAAGAATTTAGATCTATGACGGGTACACTCCAAAGCATAAGTTTAAGGACACCCCCAACAAAACATGAAAAATTTGTTATGTTCATATCTCTGTCATGTTATGTCCAATTTTCGTTCTCTTTAGATCATTTGAAAGGTATTGAATGGCATCGTAGGCAAATTGTTCAATATAATTTTCAAATTCTGTGTGCTAAAAGTTCACCCAAAGTTACAATATTTTTCAAAATTTACTCTGAAGAATCGTGACTGATTTTATCAGAATTGGGTTGGCCTAATTTTAGTAGTAGAACACTTAGGGATCGTCCATTAATTATGTCACGCTTTTAGGGGGAGGGGGGTTGGTTTTTGGAAACTGTAACGAGCCTCACAATAAACAATTAAGAGGGTAGTCCACCCTGGAAATTAAAAAAAAATCTTTTTTTTGGCTTTAAAAATAACTTTGGAATGTCTACTTTGACATAGACTTGACCGCAAGTCCGTAAGTGACATCGTTCCAAAGTTATAAGCCGATTAGTGGACTTGTGTCCAGACGCTCCAAGCGCGCTCAGGTGAGCGCTCGGAGTACCCGCCCGTTACCGGCGAAACGGCGTGTCTTAGTAGTTCCAACTGCTGCCGCGTCGTTACCAGATGGCTCAAAACTTTAAACGCGATTATCTCTAAACGATGTTTTCAAAATTGGCGGACGCTGTATTTAAGAAACGGCTCATTCGATTTAAATGGTGATTGAATTTTCGAGTTAAGTACCTTTTTTTCTAGTCTTGTACGTAGCCGATTTTCAAAAGAATCAAAAATGGATTTTTGGTGCAAGCTTTTATCTCCAATTTTAGGGTACAAAAACAGACTTTTTTTTTCAAAACGTCGCCAAATTTTTATTTTTCAACCAAATCAAAAACGGCTAAGTACAAGACTGGGTCATTTATCAGAGAATAACCACAAAAAAATTCGTTGTTCCAGTGCCAGTGGTGTGACCGCCACACGTCCCGCCCCGCGACGACTCAGACGGGAGGTCTCCTGGGGAACCTGGTGCAGCGGCTACAGGAGACATCCAATCGCGCCAAAAAAAAAATCTCAATTAAAGAGGACATTTCAATTGACAAAACCATGCATTCCTTTTTTTGAATTGATCGTTACCCTAAAAAAAATTCGTGAAAATAACCTATTTTTCATGCCGCCAGAGTGGACTACCCCCTTAAGGTCCATATCAAAAATGTGACAAAGGTGGGAGGGGAGGTTGAAAATGGGCCAAATTTGCATGACATAATTAATGGACCTTACCTTATGCTATACCATTCATACCTTTGGAGATCGAAAATTGAACAAAACATATTTGCATGGTTTTTTGGTGGTGTCCTTAAACTTATGATCGGTAGTGTAAGTCTTTGAAGGTAACTCTTGAGAAAGTTCTTTTGCTGGCCTAAGCATTGGAATGGCAGATAGGCAGCTATAAACGTCAGTTTTCCAAATTTTGTTTCAAAAGAAACTCCCAAAGTTTCAAAAACTTTGGTTTCAAATGAAGAAAGAATTTTGTGTTCGATTCTTCTATGAACAATAATGGCAACGCCACCACAGGGTCCATCAAGACGATCATTTCTATAAATTAAATAATTTGAGTCCTTCTTAACCTTATGGTCAGGTTTAAGGAACGTTTCAGTAATAACGGCAATATGCACGTTATGAACTCTCAAAAAGTTAAATAGCTCGTCTTCATTATCTTTAAGAGATCGAGCATTCCAATTTAAAATATTTAATGCTTTAAAATCCATTGCTGAATTTTAAAGTCATGACAATATTATTTGCAAATTTTACCCCAGTTTGAATAGCATCAAACATGGAGTTAGTTTTACGCATATCAGAAATTATGACAATTAATGATTTCTGTAAAAAATCTTGGGGGGCAGTAATGCTTCCTAAGTCAAAATTGTCAAAATTTCCGTAAGAATTACGCTGGGTTAGTATTTTGATTTCTACTCGCTGCAATAGCAGCATAGGTAGCTCCATTTACTCGCTGAACATTGTTAGCAGCTAGGGGAGTAGGTATTAGAGTGGGTCATCGTTATATGAAAAAACGCAAACTTTACCTCACCAATCGAGAACAACCTTTTTTTGATTTCATTTGGGGTCTCAAACAACTGTGCAAAATTTGGGGACGATAAAGTAAAGCATTACGCCGGGAAAGTTTACTAGAATTTTTCTTGGATGATGGATCATTCTCATCATCCGTGAGCAAATCAAATTGATTACTCAAATTAATTTCATCAGAAGGGGGATCAAGAGTTTGTCCCTTTCTTTTGCGTTTAGGCGCCATAGCGGCAGTAAATTTTTATCCAAATCGACTTCCAAGCAGTTTACTATAAGAATCTGAAGGATCGAAGAGGAATTTTCCAAACCGATATCCAAGAAGGATTACCTCAGCAGTAAGATCCTCATTTGATCTTCGAAGTGAAGTAACATTTATTACCAATGCCATCAAAATGTTGGAATAGGCTTTTGGCAAAGCCTTACAGTTGATATATTTAGCGAAAATTACTTTATTGTTATTGGTAACATTAAAAAGGCCAAAAATAGCCTGTTTTCCATTACGGAAATGGCCGTACTGGTTTAGATAAAAGACA